TTTAACGATTGTTTGACGCTAACATATGTCTGCTGCGAGCGATCAGTGTGTCTCATGTTTTGAAATTTCTCCCTCGGAACGTTGGGTGCCCTTGTATTCGCGAGATTTACAGGTTCCACATCGCAAGCAAACTTGTTTAAAAATTTTATTAAATCCTGCACTGTAGGTAGTACCCCATCCTCTATCGTACGCTCCCAATGAATTCGCGTTATTTTGTCTATCTTTGAAGTAACAACGTAAATAAACATTTCATGACAACCAATGGTTTGGTCCAGCGACCTTAAGGCGTTGATGTGCATTTCAACTCGATCAGCCAGAACACGCAGAGCTGATGGGCAACCACGACTGACTTCGGGTAGTTCGAAAAGTGCGCGGACATGTGCCTGTACCGTTTTGCGCGGATTGTCAAATCTTTTTTGTAACAGATTCCACGCCACGGAATAATTGTCTTCCGTGGCGTTTAATGCTTCTATAACTGTGGCCGCGTCGCCCCGTAAATAAGATTTTAACAAATGGAATTTGTGAACTGTCGGCAGCGACTCGTTTTCGTGTACTAAACCTTTGAACATGTCGAAGAAACTATTCCACTCTACATAACTACCATCGAAAGGCTTTATTTGTATTTTTGGTAATATTGATTTGACGTTAACTATGGACGGAGATGGAGAAATATTGTTTGCTGCAGTTCTGTCAGTTGCCGCTACCTCTAGTTTCTGTCTGCACGATATCATGTAGTCTTTACATTTATAGTATGTTTCTTCAACCTCCGCGCGTATAGTTTCATTCTCGTCGTTGTCTTCTAGTGACTCTATTTGAAATTGAATGTCAGAGAATCCCTTAATAATATCTTCTAGTTTCTCTATACGATAGTCTATCGTCTGTGTGTTCAAATCTGTGGCAGTGAGCATGCTATTGTATAAGCGCGTTAATTGACCTCTACAGGATCCACGCTGCCTCGTTAGTTTCTTCAATTCCTCAACCATCCTTGCGTTATTAAAATTGAAGGCGACGGAAAGTTGGGGGGGG